GTAATCATATTTAGTCAGCACAGTTGGGAAACTGGGTGCACAGGCCTTCTGACTGCTGTGTTGAAGGACATTTCTTTCTTTTTCTGGTATTAGGTATTAAACCCAGTGCCTTCACGCTGAGCTATATCCGCAGCCCTTTTTAATCAGTCATTAAGTTGTCTAAGCTGGACTCCAACTCGTGGTCCTGCTGCCTCAGCTTCCCAGAATGCTGGGGAGGGACATTCCTTATTAAAAGGTAGTCGGTCGGGGGCTAGGGATTTAGCTCAGTGGCACAGTGCCTGCCTGGCAAGTGCAAGGTTGTGAGTTCGATTCCCGGAACCGGAAAAAAAGAACAACAAAAAAAAAGGTAGTCTGTCATAGCAGAGCAGGTACCCAAGTAAGAGTTCCAGCCCAATTGCTGAGATGAGACACCTGTTCAGCTGCCCTGGCGAGCGATTCCTCAGAGAAGACTCCGAAGGGCTCAGTGGGTAAGGCGGGACAAGTGTAGCCCTTGGAGTTGGCTTGGTGCGGAGAACGCCGCCGCCTGGCAGCTGTGGCCTGACAAGGGCACAGGGTTTCGAGCCTGAGGCGCAGGTTCGGCTCCCGCCTCTGCCGCCTGGCAGCTGTGTGACGTTGACAGATCACTTACGTTTCCTGGCTGTGAAAGGAAAACGATAGAATGGTACCAGCTGACATTTGTTGCCTACCTGTGTGCCCGGGATGTTTTAGGCACACGGCTTAGCGATCCGTTCCTGATGGCTGCTCTGTGCGGCGGTGCCATCGTAACCCTTTACAGTAAGGACACTGAGGCTTCGAGAACTCGGGAGCCGTCCCAGCGTCACTGCAGAGGCGTCGCGGTGCCGTGTGTGCTGCGTTTGAACCCGGATCATCTATGTCAGTTATTGACAGCGCCTCTCTTGAGGAGGATGGTGCTCAAGAAAGTGCTTTGTGAATGGCAAAACAGTTATATACCCTCTGGTTCAGCAGTGGTGACACACGGTAACAAAGTGAATAGGCAAGAGGCCGCAGAGCCCTCCCAGAAGTGCTTTAAGGCAGATCCCCCCACGATCCTATTGATGAAAGACCTGCGAATGACAGAGGGGAAATAAATGGAGCTCCAGCCTGCTAGATGTCCGATACGCCGAGTCACGTCCCCGAAGTCGAGAATGAATTTTCAGGAACAACAGAAGTTAAGAGTAGGAAAATGTGTTGGGGAAAGGGACTGGGGAATAGGAATAGCTCCTGAGAGACAGGAGAGGTCCTGAGTGGGCTGCCAAAGAGCCTACTTCTCAAAAGGAAGTTAAAAAGCAAAATCGAAAGGTGAGTACAGTGTGGGTCAAAGCTGCAATCAGCCAATAAAATTACAAGTATAGCTGTTTAGATGATATTGATCCAGTGGGGAAGCAGGTCAGGTAGCAAGCATACACGGATGACATCATTAATTTTAAATGATAATCTATAGTCTTAGTCTTGCTTTTATTTATTTGTTTATTTATTTATTGTCTTTTTGACATAGGGTCTCCCTATGCAGTTCAGGCTGGCCTTGAGTTCATTTTGTAGCCCAAAAGCTGGCCTCTAATTCTCAACGATCCTCCTGCTTCAGCCTCCTGAGTGCTGAGATTACAGGCATGTGCTACCACACACGGCTCAGTCTTGTTTTTAGTCTGAGTCTTAGTGGGTGGAGAGGACAGCCCACCCCTAATGAGATAATGGTTTACTTAGATGGAAATCTCAAAAGGGTGCTGCCAATACCTCAAGCTTCCATTTATCCCTTAGGAGTATGGAGGTCTGGCCCTCGTGACTTTAATCTTCCTCAGATACGCCTCCAGCCACAGTCCTGATGGACTCTCGTCTTCCACACTGACTCCCTCGAGGGCCTAGCCCTGTCCGCTGGCCATACTTCTACCTAACTTAGCTGTCTATAATGCTATTAAGGAAATGATGTGTTTTTTAGTGGCTCTAATATTCATTACAGAACTACTGCTTTGGCCTGGTTTGGTTTTTGTTCTGCATTGGGGATTGAACCCAGGGCCTTGGGCATAGCTAGGCAAGTGCTCTACCACTGAGCTACACCCTCAGCACCTAGAACTATTTGAGACTCTAAGATAGGCACAATCAGCATATCTCATCTAATCCTTTTCCCTGTTCTGGGATTTTTTCAAAAGATTCTGTTAGAAAATTTAGTGGTATTTAGAAAACCAAAAATGAATTCATTTCAAACTTCTCCAGAATATAGGTTGTCTAACAGTTACACTTTTTGTGTTAGGATACTTCGGGGCTGTATTGTTGATGTTTACTTTCAATCAAACCAAAATAATAAGAGATAGGTTTTTTGTTTGTTTGTTTTCCCGTACTGGGAATTGAACTCACGACCTTGTGCTTTCCAGGCAGGTGCTGTGCCTCTGAGCTAAATCCCCAGCCCCTAGGGTTTTTGTTTTTCTGAGACATAGTCTTGCTTTTCTTGCAGACTTTGAACTCACTATGCAGCTCAGACTGGCCTCAAAGGGTGATCTCCTGCCCCAGGCCCCTGAGTCGTGCGATTACAGATGTGCACTACTAAGCCTAGCTAGGAACTGTTTTTATTTTTTAAATTTTTATCATTATTATTATTTTTTTAAACAGTGACAAAGTTTATTTGAAAAAGTAAAAGTGAAGAGTGAGGGAGAAAGTGGCTCTGCAGAGCGAGCTTGGGCTGAGCAAAAGAAGGAAAAGAGGTACAAAGAAGTGCACCCTGGAGGACACAGGGTGGGCCGTCTGAGGAAGCCGTGACAGCCAGGAATTGTTTCTAATCGCCTAGTAGGCCCTAATACGTTATTTGGGAGAAGAAATAAGCTGCTCTCAATAGACGCCTGCAGAGCCAGGGGATTAGGGATCCATTCTCTGTATTTTTCAGGGGTTTGTTTTGTTTTGTTTTGTTTGTTTTTCTTCCGGTACCAGGAATTGAACTCATGACCTTGCGCTTGCCGGGCAGGCGCTGTGCCGCTGAGCTAAATCCCCAGCCTCCTTTTCAGAGTTTTTTTAAATTACATTTTTTTTGTCGTTTTGAGAGAGGGTCTCACTATGCAGTTCAGGCTGGCCTTGAACTAACAGTGATCTTCCTGCCTCAGCCTCCCAGGGGCTACAGGTGTGCGCCACCACACGTAGCTTTTTTTCAGTTTTTTACTGAAGCATTCTTCATAACAGTAAGAGCAGTTTGATTTGTTT